ATGTATCTGTTTGTTCTTTCAGTTATCCATGGGATGTTCAGTGCTCTTCTCCAACACCACAGATTAAAGGCATTAATTCTTCCTTTGCCATCCTTATTCACAGTCTAGCTCTCTGATGCACATCAAGTGACTGGAAGGACTATGGCCTGAATCAGACATACCTTAGTCCTCAAATGGGCATCATTACTATTCAATAATTTGAAGAGGTCCCTAACTGCACATTTTCCCAGTGCAAAGTATCTCCTTATTTTCTGATTGCTGGTACTAAGGGTATTTACTGTGGATGCAAGCAAGACAAACTTATTGACAGTTTCAATTTTTCCTCCATCCATCATGATGTCTTTCCAACCAGTGGTAAGAATTTTTGTTGACACTGAGATGCAATCCATACCAAAGGCTGCATTCCTTGATATTCCGCAACAAGTGCTTTAAATCCTCCTCACTTTTAACAAGCAAGATTGTGTCATCTGCATAATGCAGGTTATTGATGACTCTCCCTCTAATCATGATGCCACACTCCTCTTCATAGAGTCAACTTCTCAAATAATTTGCTTAGTATATAGATTAAACAGGAATGGAGAGAGAAGAAAACCCTGCTGTATTCCCCAGCTCTATTCTCACAACAGCCTCCTGGTATAGCTGTGGGCCAGAAGTCTCTTGTTTAAAACAATCAGGACCTGGTGGGCCCTAACTAAATGTCTCCGATTTCAGGCCTCCTGTGTGAAGCAGTTGGATTCTCTAAGGCAAGTTATTTTTTTTTTATTGAAAAGCAATTATAAACTGTTTGGATGGTTTTTATTTCACTAACAATCAAGTATAAGCTAACTGGTCATACAGACCAGCTGTGGTCTGGAAGCCTCTCAAATCAGTCAGGATCACTGTATTTAAAAGCCAGTTGAGCCCTGACTTAAGTCTCCAGTTTGGAGCCTCCAATGTGAAGCAGCTGGATTCTGGAGGGTAAGGTTGTTTTGATTAAATTGAAAGTGTTAATTGTGTTTGGGGAGAACACTGTTCTAAGTGGCACAGCACTTGTCTGTCAGTTTGCTGTGCTAAGATAACTTGGGGTTGCTGTGTTACTGAGAGCTGTGCCCCTGTTGTGTCAAATGCCATAAAGGTTTCAGAGGGTAGAACATGAAATAACTGTGGCAATGCTTACCATGTACAATGATGGTGACGGTCTTGGGAACTGGATGGGGTAGAGTTCCCTGCTCCAGTGGGTCTGCTTACACAGACAAGGACACTAACTGTGCCTTCCAGACACAAGTACTCCTTGAGAGCATCGTTTTCCATAGCCTTGGGAACAGAGGCCAAGACTATGCCACAGCAAATAACCTGTCACCTAATATGCCACAGTGGCCCAAGTTAGCATTGTGGAATCCTACTGCTTATTTTTTCTATGCAACTCTTTTTCATTTATGAGAACATTTTACATATTCAATTGACCTGAATGTTCCCAGTGTGTATTAAGCACTCTGTCTCATGGGCAACAAAAATCGGTAAAGATTATAATTACAGGTTTTATTTTCAGATGTAATATTACATTGAATGTTTAGAATACTCTTTGTTTTTATGATACTTGATATTGGTGTCAGTGTAACTATTTTATTTAAATAAAGTTCCATCTTTGTTAGTGCATTCTGGTAAAAATATGCTTATTTTACCCAGCTAGTACACTGATCATCAATTTGCTGCACTGAAGTAATCTGAGTGTGCTATGATACTAAACCTTGTGACACTGAGGTATCAAATAACATAATGGTCTCCCAATGTGGACAGTGTCTGGTGGAGCTCCCAGTTGTAAAACAGGGTTGGAAGCAGGCTTGGCATCCACTTTCTATACCACATGCCCATGGAAACTATGAACTTGGAGAAATGACAAACTAGAAAGGCAGTAGGTCTTTTGTTCATAGAGTCTCTATGAGTTGCACATGACTTGACGACAATCAACAACAACAATATGAAAATTACTGCCTTATGAAGTTAAGTCTTACCAATAATGAAAGGATGTAGTTTAGGTTGGTATGGTTAGCTTTTTAGGGAGAGAGAACAGCTCAGCTCACATGAAGAGACAGTGTACGTTAAATACACAGACATAAACATGCATGCTTAATTACATGTGCACTCCTAAGAAAGCCATATGCTTAAGGTAAAGAACAACAGTGGAAGAAAAAGCTAACAGGTTACATCATTATAAGTCTCCTCGGAAACAGCCTACTATGTGATGGGCAAGGAATAGCCCAATTTCTTTCACCTATGCAAGCCTTGTGTTTAAGGCTCAGCTCTCACTTCTCTCATCTTCCTTACCACGTACTGTAAACATTATCTGTGCTTGCTTTTAGAACTTCCTAGGTTCTTTCTTGAGTGTCCTGAAAACAAGAACCGTGCATGTATGTTATATCTGCATTGTGTAATCTTTCTTGGTATAGTCATCTTTGTTGAGAAACATTTATTAGTCATGCCAAGCACCATAAAAGGCAGCAAACAAAATGAACATGCTCCATGCTCTCCTGGACCAAGTGAGAATAGCCTAGGGGAAGGGCTCAATACACAACTCCAGGTTTTCTTGGAAATAAGTCAGGTTACAAAATCTTTAATTCCATTACAGATAACTTTCTTTAAAGACATTATTATAGAATACGGATACTGCTCCAATATGAGTCAATCTACATAAGTAAAATACTTTTTTCTTTTCATTATCATTGTTTTTTATTATTAGTTCTCTTTATAAATTCAACCTTTGTCTTCAGGAGTTGGAAACCTAGCATTTGATAATCATATACCAGAAAATACCAGCATGGTATGTAGCATATATCATGTTATTAATGATGCATTTAAAACCAAAACAAAACAAAACACCAAAAGAGAGAATCTTAGGTGCAATGCATTGAAATTTGCATATGCCCTAAATCCTAGACTATTTTTATTATATAGAAAGACTTCTTCATACATACGACCACCTTTATAATGATAAATTTTAAATTATTTTCAGGGGGAAATGTTTTAGAATACCATAGATCTCTCAGAATAAAATATTATTTCTAGGCAATATTATGCAGGATATTCATAATCCTTCATTTATGAAATAATATTTATTATTATAAATGTCCACAAAAGAAAAATCAATTCAAAAGAATTTATGTTATTGTTAGAAACATAGTATCTATCCATGTATCTGTTTGATGTTAATATACTTTGAATTAGGTAATGGATGATGTAAGAGTCAGAAGGCAGTTCATTATTTCATAATTTTAAAGAGCTGCATTTAAAAATCTCCTATATAGAATGGAAATTTAAAAAAAAAAAAAGAATGGAAATTTAGACTAAGTAGGTTGAGAATGTTTACATCAATTAGTAATAAAGAATGGCACTGGTCGTACAGCAGTAGAACTCAAGCCTTTCGCATGAGCGATCTTGGTTCTACAACAGACAAACCATCTCACGTGCTGCCACCACATCCACGGCCCTTCTTTTCAAGGGAGGTTTGCATACTGCTATTTCAATGAACTTATTAAGGCAGCAGAGGGATATCTATCTGTGTTTCACTGACTATACAAAGTCATTTCAATGTGTGGATCACAATAAATTGTGGTTAACCTTGAGGAGAATGGGAATCCTAGGACACTTGATTGTGCTTATGCAAAACTTATACTTGGACCAGGAAGCAGTCCTCAGAACAGAACATGGAAAATTGGCATGGTTCAAAATAATAAAAAAAAAATCAGGAAGGGAGTGCATCAGAGATGCATCCTGTCTCCATCCTTTTCAATCTATATATAGAACAGATCATTCTGAACACTGGGCTTTATGAGGAAGAATGTGGCATCAGGATTGGAAGAAGACTCATCAACAATTTATATTATGCAGATCACACAAACTTGCTTGCTGAAACCGTGGAGGACCTGAAAAGGTCAAGGTCCTTCAACAGTCTCTAACATGGACTGAAGCTCAACATCAAGAAGACAAAGATTCTCACCACTGGGCCAATTGGCAGCACCATGATGGGTGGAGATGATATTGAGGTTGTTAACAGTTACAGCTTGCTCGGCTCCACATTCAACACTCTTGGCACCAGCAGTGAGAATATCAAAAGACAAACTGCATTAGGTAAATGTGCTGCTAGGGATACTTCCAGAATACCGAGAAACAACGATGTCAGTCTAGAGACTAAGGTGCACCTGATCCAGGTCATGGCTTTGCAATTACTTACTACGCATCAGAGAATTGGATAATGGCTAAGGATGAGAGAAGAACAACTGACACTTTGAGTTGTGATGCTGGAGAAAAGTCTTGAACACACCAGGAACCACCCAAAAAACAAACAGGTCTGTCTTGGAGAAGGTGAAACAAAATTTCACCTTGGAGGCTAAGATTTTGAAGCTCCATCTCACATACTTTGGACATGTGGCCAAGAGGGACCGATCCCTGGAGGAGGACATCATGCTCAGAAAAGTGGAGGAACAGAGCAGAAGAGGAAGATCCTAGATAAGATGAATTGGTACAGTAACTAGGGAAATGGGGGTAGGTGTGTCAAAGTCAGTGAGACTGGCTCAGGACAGGGCAGGCTTCAGAGCTATTGTACATAGGATCACTATGAGTCACATAACATATGGCATATAACAACAACAACAACATTAAGGGAGCAGAGATTATAGACTATGACAGTATAGGAAGAAAGGCTTGGCTATCTACTTCTATAACTCAGCCAATGTTCCAGTCTGTAAATAATCATGAGGATGGCACAGTAACAGGAAGGGCTTCATTTCCCTGTGCATAATAAGGTTGTCATAAGTCAGCAGTTAACCCTATGGCCATGACCAGCAACCACAAAGGCATAAATAGTGATCCAGCATAAAGGTAGCCAAGCTAGCAGTTCAGTCTAGAAGTGTCCAGAATATATCACTTTCCAGCTTCACATATCTGAGGGGTTGAGACTAACTTTTAAGATGGAACGTACCCTGGGATTTCCTCAAAATGTTGATTATAGGGCTAAAATTCCTTACCCTGCTGTGAAACTTTGCAGTTCGATAAGACTTGGGAGACAGATTGTACACTGTGTAGTGGTCAAGATGTCTGGAATCCAAAAAGCTTCGTATGTCATCGACTTGATTCCTAAATCCTATGTCAACATTATCCAGAGGAAAGGACATCACTAGGGAGGGGTCACAGAGAAAGAAGAAAAAGTTAAACAAATCTTCAGTCATTGAGGGAGTCAATTTAAAGGTGAGATATTAATTAATAAGTATGAAAAACTTACCAATAATTCTTGAGGTAACATAAGTGAAGTCTAAATCTCCCTTTGTGTAGCTAGAAACAAAGCAGAAAGAGGAGTTCATTAAATAATGAAGGAATGTGTGAAACACAATGTACATGACTGAAACAAAATTTTCATATAAGAATTTTGCTTGCAAATCAATGTAAAATATTAAGAAAAAAAGAGTAAAATACAAAACCCAGCTTTCATTGTGATTGTAATTCATAGCTGTGGCTGCTTCTAATAGTTTGTGTATTATCCCATTTAATTCTCATAACCATTCAAAAACTTAACTCCTATCAGAGTCTAAAAGTAAACCTAAGAAAGGTTAATTAACTGGCCATAGTTCACATGCCAAACAAAAGGCATATGTTGTTTTGCCACTGAATCAATTCCAACTCCCAGATATCACATTAAGAGCCCACGGTACGATGGCAATCACTATATTCCAATGTATGCAAAGGACTAAGTACTCCCAGCTGCACCTGTAACTTCTAAAGGACTCAACTTTATGGATTCAATGACATTTTGCAGATAACCAAACAGACAGTTACAGCTTCCATACAAGTATGTTTAAAAAAGTGACAACCTTTGATGCAGACAAGCAGTTGATGGTCACCAGATCTTTTGGGACCCAGAGAGCCATTTGCTTAACTATGAAGAATGCACGTACCTGCTAACAGATTGTATAACTCTAGAGGAAGTGTCTTTGAGGGTGTCTTTCAAGTTGTCCTTTAGATTACTAAAAAGCCTCCCGGCCCCTCCTTTCACCATGTCAAAGAGACCGCCCCCATAGCTAGGCTCCATGTCTGGAGAAGAGGCACCTGCCAAAGAAAAGTAGAAAAGGAGGTCAGATGGCACAGATTAAAATAAACACTAATCAATTCTTGATTCCTAAAATATCCATAGATCACCTTTAGAAGACTGGGACAGGCATTACTGAACATCACATCCTACTCTCAGAACATATCAACTCTGAGTTACAGCAGGGCACAAATCCTCAGGGACCCAGGACCAGCAATCACTAGAGTGACTGCACCATGCAATTATGTAGCCACTAGCCACTGGTGGAACTGAGTACTTAAAATGTGGCTAGTCTAAATTGAGGTATTCCAGAAGTATAAAATACACATCAACTTTCAAAGATTTAGTACAAGAAAAAATGCTATTGGTACTGCTGGGTGCCATGGAGTCAGAATCAATTCATAGCTGACCTTCCAGCAAATTTTCAGAGGCAGAAAATTGCATGGGAGGAGACTACCCATCCTGCTCCCACAAACCATCTGGTGGATTTGAAGCATGTGCCTTTAGAACTGCAGCACCGCTTTTTACCACTAGGCCACCATAAAATACTTTGTGAACGGAAAATGTTTTCAATATACTGAGTGTAATAAGTTACATAACACTAAAATGAATTTTGCCTGTTTTGTTTTACTTTTAAAATACAGCTTCTAGAAAACGGAATTATATATGTGGTCTGCATTATGCTATTTTTACACAGTGCTGTCTGGAAAACCTGATGAGGAAAAGCAGAGATCAGGAGGTTCTCCTGCCCCTCACTGGGAAGTGATTGTACCCAAATACTCTCAACGTCACAATCAGCTCACAACAGGGACATCTAAAAGGTTGCCACAGAATTCTTAGATCTGAACATGTATAGCAGTTATTAATGTTGTTTGCCAAATATTTCCATTTTGCCCTCCTTAACACCACCAACAAAATAATCATCATCATCCAACCCATAGCAACCCTATGGAATAGTTCCACAGGGTTTACAGGGTTGAAATCTTTACAGAAACAAACTGTCACATCTTTCTCCTACAGAGGGGACAATGAGTTCAAGTCATTAACTTGCTAGTTAGCAACTGAATATTTAACCACTTCACCACTTGGTCATTCTCCTTAAGGGCATCATAAAAGCATACTGCCTAGCCCTTTCTATTCAAGTGAAGTTCTTCACACAGTGTCAGCCCAAGGATCCTTAACCTCACACTACAGATGCGTTGGATGAGATATATCTCAGGTGGCAGGATGGTGACATTGTAGTGTGTTTAGCAACATCCCTTGTATGGACCCACTAGATGCTGCTGTTGTTATGTGCCATCAAATTGCTTACGACTCATTGTGTTGTTGTTATGTGCCATCAAGTTGCTTGTGACTCATTGTGACCCTATGTACAATAACCTTTAAACCTGCTCTATCCTGTGCCAACTTTATTCTCTCTGACACACCTATCTTCATTACCCCAGTCACTGTATCAATCCATCTCATTGATGGTCTCCCTCTCTTTCTCCATCCCTCCACCTTTCCAAGTATGATGTCCCCGCCTCTGCGAGGATTGGTCCCTCCTTGAAATATATCCAAAGTATGTCAGACAAAACTTTAGAATTCTTGCCTCCAAGGAACAGCCTGGCTTCACCCTCTCTAGGATGAACCTGTATGTTCTCCTAGCAGTCCATGGTATATTCAACACTCTTCACCAGCAACACAGCTCAAAGACATCAATTTGCTTTCTATGATACCTAGTCATTACCCAGCTCTCTGATGCAAAGCATGCAATTGTGAAGACTATGGCCGGGATAGGGTGCACCTTAGTCCCCAGACTGATGTCATTGCTCTTCAGTACCCTGGAGAGGTCCCTCACAGCTGACTTCCCAAGGCAATTTGTCTCTTGATTTCGTGGCTGTTGGTACCCAGAGTGTTGATTGTGGAGCCAAGCAAACTAAAGCTGTTAACAATCTCGATCTGGAATAATACAAAATATTTCTAGACATTGTTATTTTCCCCTAGGAAATAAAACTGCTTATATTTGAGAACCAGAGCTCTGGCCTATGACATGTGAGTGGAAGCTTTGTTTGTCACCTACAGGTTAAAATGTTTAATTTGAGTACAAGACTCTCCTAACACGCTTCCTTTTTCTCTCATTCTATCTCCCCCTCCTTCTCATTCTCTCTCTTTTCTCCTGTTATGGAAACCAGTAAGGATGGATATGGAGGTTGTGCTGTTTTGGACTCTTGGGTCCATGGAAAAGGAGATGTGGTACATAATTTTTCATTTACTTGTAATAAATATGCAACATGAATAAGAATTAATTCTTGCTACTAGAAGTCACTAATATTTTGAGAATGCTAATTACTACTATATAGTGTGCTCTAGAAAGACTCCTACAAGCAGGAAGCAAGTATCTGTGTAAAAGAAGCTAATAATACACCCAAGCAGATATATGCATACCGATGTGTATTGAGGCTTTGTTCACAATAGGAAAGAGTTGGAAACAACCCAAGTGCCCATCAGCAAACGAATGGATAGAGAAGATGTGGTATATTCACATAATGGATTACTATGCTGCACTGAAAAACAAGGAACTCATGAAATATTGGACAAAATGTCTGACCCTGGAGGACATTATGCTGAGTGAAGTATCTTAGTCACAGAAGGACAAATATTGCATAGTGCCACTGTTGTAAAACGGAAGACTGAAAAAGAGGGGATAAATAGTGTATACTGCATTGAAACAGATAAGGGAGAGATATATGGGATATAATAATATAATTAAAAGGGATATATGATTAGGTATTATTGTCATGATAGGAGCCCAGAATGAAGGCTGCATAATGGAGTGGACTTTGAGGGGGAAGGATTGTATAACAGTGAAAGATTTTTTCTTTTACTTTTCAAAGAGAAGAGCGAATAGAAGAGGGGAGGAGTGGGCAAGGAGAAAAGTGCAGCAATAAATAAATGGAAACCCTAAGTCTCTGTAAACTTTCATTAAAATTAATAAAAATAAAGAAGATAATAATAAAGATGTACTAATATCAAGACCATTAGAATTGCTCTCACCTGATTCCGGACCAGGTTTGCTATTCTCTAGCTATGTAACCTTGGGTGGTCACATCTTCCTAAGCTTCTGTCTTCCTGCCAATAAAATAGGCATAAAAGCAGTGACTACCTCACTACAAAATGATTACATGAGTCTTTGTAAAACTCTTAGAATAGGACCCAATGTATTTAGGGATCAGTAGATAGTAGCTATGCTACTATCTGTGGAAAGAAATCACTGAAGAAGTGCAGTATCAGTAGTGAAAACCAGACCAGGTGTTGACTGTGGGACAGACCACCAATTACTAAAGTGCAAGTACAAATTGCAGACAAAGAAAATGAAATAATCCACAGGAGCTAACATACAACATTAAGTCTATGCTAGGTGAATTTAAGAATCGTCTTAAGAACAGGATTGAAGCAGTGAACACCAATGACTGAAGACTGAAAGGACACCAAGGGTATCACCCATGAAGAGACCGAAAGGTCACTACAAAGAAGGAGGAAAAAAAAAGCAAAATGGGTGTCAGAAGAGACTATGAAAATTCCATGGTATCAATAAAGAAGTAAACACAAAAGGAAGAGACAATGAAAGGCTGAACAGAGTATTTTAAAGGAAGCTCAAGAAGAAAAATCTAATTGTAACAACAGAATATGCAAAGAGCTAGAGCCAGAATAAAAAGGGAAGAACTCAATTGGCATTTTTCAAGCTCAAAGAACTGAAAAACAAATTTGAGCTTCAAGTTAGAACACTGAGGGCTATGGGCAAAATCTTGAATGACAGAAGATGCAACAAAAGAAGATGGAAGGAATACACTGAATCATTGTACCAAAAAGAGTTAGGTGACACTGAAAAATTTCAACAAGTCCCATACGACCAAGAGTCAATGCAATGAAAGATGAAGTTCAAGCTGCACTGAAAGCATTAGCAAAAAATAAGGCCCCAGGAATTGATGTACTACCAAGTGACATGTTTCAGTAAGAGATGCAGCCCTAGATGTTCTCACCAGTCTATGCCAGGAAATTTGGAGGGCAGCTGTCTGTCCATAAGACTGGAAGAGATCTATATTTGTTCCCTTTGCTAAAGACCTATTAAATTAAATTAAAATGTGGGATCTATATTTGTTCACCTTTCCCAAGAAAGGTGGTCCAACAAAATGTGGAAATTATCAAATATTAAAATAAATATCACATGCAAGTAAAATATTGTTGAAAGTCATTTCAAAACAGAAAAGTACACTGACAGGGAACTACAGCTAGAAGTTCAAGCTGAATTTAGAAGAGGGTGTAACAATAAGGCTATCACTGCTGGTGTCAGATGGACCCTGGCTGAAAGCACAGAATATGAGAAGAATATCTATTTGTGTTTTCCTGACTCTAAAATGGAATTTGTGTATATCATAACAAATTATAGCTAATATTGAGAAGAATGGAAATCCCAGAATACTTCACTGTGCTCGTGAGAAATCTATACCTAGATCAAGAAGTTGTTGTCTGACTAGAACAAGAGAACACTGCATGGTTTAAAATCAAGAAGGGTGTGTGTGTGGGATGTATCCTTTCTACATACCTATGCTATGTGTATGCTGAACAAGTAATTTGTGAAGGTGGACTCCATGAAGAGGAACATGCCATCAGGATTGAAGGAAGACGCATCAAAAAACTGCATTACACAGATGACACACCTTGCTTGCTGAAAGTGAGGAGAACATGAAGTGCTTGCTGCAGCAGATCAGGAACTACAGCCTTTGGTATGGATTACATCACAACAAAAAGAAAACAAAAGTGCTCACCACAAGACCAACAACAGTCAACCTCATGCTAGGTGGAGAAAGGATTGAAGCTGCCCATAATCTCATCTTTCTTAGAGCAACAATCAACACTTGGTGTTAGCAGTCGGAAAATCAGGTAAATGTATTACATTGGGCAAGTCCACTGTCAGAGACCTTTCCACAATACTTAAGAGCAATGATGCCAATACAAAACCAAAGTGCACCTAATTCAG